TCCATCCATCCATTGGTCACATTTATTGCAGTAGTTTGTAGGGTTTAGATTATATATGAGGGTTAACCAACTTCCTTCCTTCCTTCCATGCATCCATCCATCCATCCATTGGTCACAATTCAGAAAACCTGGACATACCTCATGAGTACTTACAGGATAATTTTCTGGCCTATTTTAGGATTTAAAAAAAAATGGTAACTGGCATTAAAAGCAGTGTAATTTTAAACATACCATTGACTATAGTATATTGAGGTTCTTGGCATGTATATACATTTGGGTTTGAGTTAGATCTTGTTTCTTTGTAGACCTTTATATTAGAATTGCAACATTTCTGTAGAACTTTTTTCATAAGTAAAAGCTTTTGATTTCATTGTATCAACTTACGGGAAGCTATTTAATTTTTAAAATTTAAAACATTTTTATTTTTAGGTACTCTATTTTAAATGTGAAACAGAAGTATTATTTAGCCATATTTACCACTAGTGAGAATATTAGGGATAGAGAATAAAATTCTTTGAAGTACTTCCAAGCTTTACAAGAAACGTCAAATTTTGTTTTTAAAACATAGTGTAGTGAAAATAGTCACCATGGGAAACTAAATGATTTTCTCCATGGCTTTTTTTCCTATGGGCTCCTTCCTATTGTAGTGAGAGTGCCAAATACAGTCTTGAGAGACAAATATTCATGCAAAGTAATAAGAAAATCTTTAATATAGTTTCATCTGTTCATATATGTACACATTTTCACTCATGATTCTTATGATAGTTGAATTTTAAGCTGTATTTGCCATCAAAAAAATTACAAGTAAATTTGATGTAGTTAGTTTTGACACCGCACCACCTTATATAATTCAAATGTGATTGCTTTCCTTTCCATAAATAGTTGACTTATTCCGTGGCTTATAGTAAAGTCAGGGTTATGTATAATGTAGAAACTATATTGAATTAGGACTTAATTATTAAAATGAAAATACGAGAAGAGGTGACGGGGTTTTTTCTGGCACAATTTTGTGGTTATTAATTCCATATTACCTAAGAAAACATTTCAACAACATAGAAACAGCAGACATAGCTCCATTCCTGCTTTGAAACCATCATGGGTTAATTAAAAAAAAATTCTTTATTCATTCATTTATTGAAGATAGGGTCTCACTATGTAGCCTGGCTTGGCTTTGAACTCACGGTGATCCTCCTGCCTCAGCCTTCTGAGTGCTGTGATTATAAGCGTTCTCCACGATGCCTGGCAAAAAGTTCTTCTTGAAGTATATGATTATTAAATTTTTTTTCTTGGAAATTTCCTTTGTAGTTTATTTTTATCCTGGGATCTAGGATGCTGATTCTATTATTAGAGTATTAGAGAATTCAGTATCCTTTATGTTAGCTAAGATGATGATGGCTTTCAAAATCAGGTTACTTGTTCTCTCCTGTTTCTTGTATAATTCTTACTGTATCGGTGAGTGAACAAGGAAATGCCTTTTGTATGAAACAGGATACTTCATTGTGTTCTTGCTATGTGCAGAGCACAATATTTAAATTTACACTTTTAAAAAGTATATTGATATTGCTAAAATTATCTGGAAACCTGCACAACATTTACTCTAATATAAGAGAACTTACTAGAGATTTGATTAGCAGGGTAAAACTGGCTAACATGCAGCTCTCCTTTGTCATCTTGAAAATGGAAAGAAAGATGTAATTTCATGCAAATATTGCATCCTGAATAATATTATTTTTAATACTGTTAAGGGAGTCTTAACATTCAATTTATTGTACACATGCTAAAAATTTTTTTCTTATTAAAAAGTTATTTTTAGCCAAATTGAACTGGAATTACTATGTAGATTCTATAACAATTTTATTATATAATAATCCAGTATTGTTGTAAACCAAACTTTTTTATTGGAAGACTGCTACAATATTGAAAGTGTTTTGTAAATCAATGTTGAACCCATGAAAGTATTTTTGTATATTATGATCTTCACAGTAGTTATAAAAGTACACTTGTTAATTGAGCTTGCTGAAGTAGATATGTGGGGAAAATTCAACAAAGGGAAACATACTTGCTTATTTTTAATAGAAGGCCAAATTTAAGTATTGATATAATTATGCTAATGATTAGATAATTTTAAACAATTTGTTTAGAATTGAGACTGATTGTTATATTCTTAAAGCTTGTAGGTGACACCACAGAGTGATGATTTCTTAAGCCAAAAGTTTTTTTCTCTTTTTATTTTTTTGTTTCTTTTTTCTTTTTTTTGATACTGGAATTGAACTCAGAGAATAAAGTTCTTTGAAGTAGTGCCAGGCAGGCACTTGTGCCTCTGAGCTATATCGGATACCCAGCTTTTTTTTCTTTTCTTAAAATATTATTTCTCAAGTTTGAGCTGTTTACCTCTTAGAAACATTCTGTGTTACTTTGCTAGATGCATTTATGTTTTAACATAACTGGAACAGTATATAGTAAAAATTATAGGATTATGCTTAAAAATAGAGAACTAGTTCTGTAGTATGAAATAATGATGTATTTAGTAAATAAACTTTACTGCTGGTTTGTAAGTTTATCTTAGAATTTAAAAACAGGTCTTATACTGAATTTAAAAAATTCTTTCAGAGCTTTGGGCTTACTTTGTTTGATACATGCTAATTTTGTACTAAATATACCTTTTTCTTGTGGAAGAAACATCCCTCCCCAAAAGGAACTAGCCATGTCTAATTAATTGTAGTTATGCATGATCTGGAGCACTTTAGCCCCTGGTCGCAAATATGTTACAAAAACATGGAAATGTACATGGAAATGGAAATATGTCTTTTCCATAATTAAATATTGTTTAAACAATGATTTGTGGTTTTTTTTTTTTTTTTTTTTTTTTTTGGTTTTTCTCTGGTACCGGGAACCGAACTCACAACCTTGCGCTTGCCAGGCAGGCGCTTTTGCCGCTGAGCTAAATCCCCAGCCCCTAAACAATGATTTGTGAAAAGCTTAATCTACTATAAAAAATACTCAGATTAAAAAAAGTAACATAGTTTTTTGTTTTGAGCAACTTTTATGTTTTGCAGTTGACCACCCACTCTGATAATATTCATGCTTCTGTTTTACAGGCCCTAGGATGTCTACTATATAAACTTTGTTTCTTCACTCTTCCTTTTGGTGAAAGTCAAGTTGCTATCTGTGATGGAAGCTTCACCATCCCAGACAGTTCTCGGTACTCCCATAACATACATTGCTTAATAAGTAAGTACTTGGAAGATAGTATACTTTTAGGGTCTGTTATTTATACTGCTTTACTTAACCTAGTCTTTTAATTCCATTTAGAGTTATGTTTATATGACTTTAATAGTATCAAAAGCAGCCTAGTTACTGATTACTACAATATGTTTAAGTCCCTAAGTAAGGTTCAGTGGCACACAGCAGAGATGATATAGTTAAGGCAGCTGGACTTGTGGGAATGGGGACACTTACAGCGTAACATTTAATTGTTTAGTTTTTGTACTTTTGAAATTAAATATGCAGAGCTTTTACTTCTTTGGATCAAAATATTGCTAATTTAAGGTTATGCATATCTTGTAAACCTTTTAAATATGCATATTTTATTAATATTTCGATAAATACAAAGCCAGAAAGGTTTGATATCAAAAGGGATAGAATGGCAGGCCCTACATTTTAAAAGAATTTAGTTTTCTCCAGTCTCCTTTAAGATTTTTCCTTCCATTTTGATAATGTAATTAAATATTTTATGTTTATACTTAATAAAAGCTTGGAAAAAGACATTTTAAGGAGAGGAGGAGAACTGTTAGGTACTAAAATTTACAGTGTTAGGTAGCTACAGTACTTAAATATCCCTGAACACTGACTTAAGCTATATCTAGCATTCATACTTTGTTTTCTGCATTTTAAATACTTCTGTTGTATCCTCTAGCTCAGTGGCAAAGAAAAAGAGAGTCAATTTAAATATGTTTGATGTTTGTATGGTAAAGATAGCACTACAACTTAGTGGAAAGGATGGATGCAAATAGAAAAATTACTTAGCTGTTTGTGGTTAAAAGATATAGTTGGATCTCTGCTTTCATTCTTTATGTTAAAGTTCCATATAAATAAAAACTTCAAATGTAAAAAAAATAAAAATAAACATATTTGAAAAAAGTAAGGGTAAATTTATAAGAATAGAATGTGGACTCAATAAACTAGTCAGTCACAGGAACTAGGACTCCAGTTAAAGAATTACTCCATTACTCCATTAACAGTATAAAAGGTGAACTCATAAACACCAGCAAAAGTCACATAATACCTACCTTTTATAATTTGTAGGGCTTGTGCAAATCAAGAAATGTAAACACTAAAAAAAGTTGAAAAATAAAAGATATATAAAAAAGAGTCTAGGCTCACTTTGCAAATTTTTTAAAGCCCGTTTATTTATGTAATGTTGATTTCCTTGTACATGTTAGAAATATGCTAGTTTAATATTTGTGTCATGTGGAATGTTTTTCCTACGCAAGAGGAACCATAATAATGGGGTGGGGAAGGTGATACAACTTTCTCAGGAAGGGAAATAGCCAAAGCTTGGCTGCTTCACTGTCTTCATGAACACATTTAACTCTTTGAGAACACTAAGTATGAATGCTTATACTTGGGTTTCCTCTTCTAGAGCTCTGCCTGCCTTCTATGTGGCACTGTAGATATGCAGGGCCACCTGCTCCAAAGCCTGGGGCTTTTACTTTTATGTTCACTGGATGAGCACCTGCCAACATTGTTTTGATGTACGTTATAGCCTTGAGGCAGCCTCATCTTAGTTGAGCTACCTATCTGTGCAGTCCACGGTACCTTCCTAGGACCAGTTAGTGTTTTTTTTGTCAGTCCGCTGTGACAGAGTTACATACTTTTTAAATGGGATACTCTATGAGTCTTCCTTTTTTCCTGTGGGTCCTCTACTTTTAGTGCCATTTTGCAGAATGTAAATTTTTAAAAAAGCATAAAGTGTACTTGAATAAACATTAAGACCCTTAACCCTGTCTTACCTAGTTACCATTTTATTTATGATTTAGTTAGTAAATACTTTCTTGGGTTAAGAAGCCCTCCCCATGTGGGTGTTTGTGTAATGAGAAGAGAAATACTGATTTTAAAACTATGATGCACCAAATACTTCCTATATTTGTCCACAAATATACAAATTTGTTTTTGTCAATCCTGGTATAAGTTGTGCTAAAAACAAAAAGTGTTGAATAAAATAGAAACACTTAAGCCAGGCAAGGTGGTATATGCCTGTAATCTCAACAGGAGGATTGCAGGTTGGAGCCCAGCATGGGCAATTCAGAAATGGAGCAAAACCCTGTCTCAGAATTAAAACAGCTTTTAAAAGGGCTGGGGATTTAGTTCCGTGTGAAAATCCTGGATTCAATTTCTACTACTACTGCTACTGTTACTATTGAGAGGGGGGAAAGCATTCAAGTCAATCTGAAATTACAACATCCGTAAATTTTACCTCCTGTCAATGTGTTTTATATTTTACAGACTTTATTTTTAACTGTCTTGAGTAGTAAAAGTTTAATAAAATAGAAATTTTTAAAATCAGAACATATTTATCTATGATGTAATATTTCCTAAAAAACATTTGGATATTTTACAACACTCTTCTTTATCCTTTGTGCTTATGCTATGTAGTTAGTGATTTACATTGCTTTTATATGAATGCAGAAAACCAAGAATATTATGTAGCTTTATTTAGTTATTAAATGTAAAACTTTTTATTATCAAATGTTTATTCATGCAATATAATTGTTCCCACATATATAGATAAAACACAAGAAGACAAATCATTTTATTATTGAGAAGACACATTGTTTTATTATTGGTAGTAATAATACTGTCCACTTTATACCACTCTCAATTTTTGAAAATAGTAAAAAAAAATAGTCATGACAAATCTTTGTTTTAATTGTATGGTTTGTGGCTACCAAATTATTTGAATATGAATTCTGATCATCAGTGATTCAGATAAAGTCATTGTTATTAGTATCTGTTGTCCATAAAGCTCAGTTTAACTTACTTTTCTTTCCTGTAGACTTTTTTCTGAAAAAGTAGCAGAATCAGTTATTTAGAGTTTTCCTCTTAGCTTTTGTTGACCTTCCCTCTAGACAAGTAATGGGGTTTCCCTGGGGGGTTAGGAAAAAAGCACTTCCCATTTCTGGATCTAAGAGTTGAAAAGAATTGAGAAAACATTTAGCAAAGAATCAGAATCATAACTGAGGGGATTACTGAGTGGCTGTAACCAGTGAGCCTCCTCTAAATTCTTCTGTTGCAAGGTGCTTGAGGAGATTAAGGGCAAATAAGGCTTACAGAGCCAAACAGCCTTGGTTTACATTCTCTGTCACTTATTTGACATGGAACATTGGGTGCCTTCATTTATTTCAGTTTCCCTGTGGGCATATTAAAAGTACTTACCTCTTAAGAGCTATTGTTAGAATTAAATATGTTGTGGAAACTGATTCTTCAAATGTGTTCATGCTTAGTAAGAGATAGCATTTAATACTGCCTTCATCACCACTGTGACAACTGCCATTACAATAGCTACTAGTAGCATTTTCATAGTTCTTCCTGAGCTAACCAGATTTCTGATAGCCGGGGTGAAGGGCAGAGCATCTGCCCTTAGATAGTTATTAGGATGTACTTTCCCTGCAGAGATTTCTTTTTATACCTTGAAACAGAATTTGCCGGTCATGATGAATCAATCAAAGGTTTACTATAAATGATCATACAATCCCAGGATAAACTTTTAAGATACAATTACTAAGATTATTTTTTACCTTTTTATTTTGTTGAATTCTTTTGCTATTGAGTCTGCTTGATAATTACTGTTTTATGGCTTTTTTTTTTTAGTCTTTTTGAGACAGGGTCTTGCTGTGCAGTTCAGGCTGGCCTTGAGCTCACTTTGTAGCCCAGGCTGGTCTTGAACTTGCAGTGTTCCTCCTACCTCAACTTCCTGAGTGCTTGGATTACAGGTGTGCGCCACCATGTTTGGCTTGTTTTATGGCTTGTTTATGTTTGCTCATCTATTGTGGTTAGATTTATTTTAATATCTGTCTTGTGGGGAACCAGGAATTACTTGCTTGTTTGAATATTCTTAAATTTATTATAGTGATTAAAATATACATACATATGTAGATAGTAACCGCACAATTCATTTTTTGTACTGCTACCCAACCTCAGTTACCAACTCCTGGGCAAGCTTATTTCATCTATACCCTCACTCATTTTCTCCTCCTGTATTACAGTTTTGGAAAAGAATTCTCAAGACGTTTTAATTCACCTTGTAAATAAATCAGAGTTGAAGCTAGAGTTCTCTTGGGTGTTTTCAGTCTTTGGCACTGGGGTATCAGGCAGTTGTGGAGAGAGAGCTATGATAAATAACTAGGACTACCCCAAATGTATTCTTCTGATATATGAACAATACTGCCTAGTGTCTCACTTATTATCAAACATATTTATTATAAGCTGTTAAATTTTGTTTCATTTCCGTACTCCATGGAATAAGGTATGTGGGAACTACCATATACCTAACATGTTAATTTCTATAATAATTTCCTTAGGTTAATAGATAAATATAATAAGTCGATGCTTCAACCCCTTCTGCAAAATTAGAGTACTGATACAAAAATTGAAAAAGTAGTGGGTGATTTTCTTTTCAGCTAAATTCCTGTAAGTGTAATCAAAGAAACTTAAGCAGGGGCTGGGGATTTAGCTCAGCGGCAAAAGCGCTTGCCTGGCAAGTGCAAGGTCGTGAGTTCGGTTCCCGGTACCGGAGAAAAACAAAAACAAACAAACAAAGAAACTTAAGCAGGAGAGATCTTGAAAAGACCTTTTTTTGGTGAGGTGGTAGGACTGGGGATTCAACAAACAGCCTTTGCACTGAGGTATCCCTAGCCCTTTTATTTTTATTTTTTATTTAGTTTTAAAATTTTGAGACAGGGTCTCACTAAATTGCTAAATTGCCCATGCTGGGCTCAAACTTGTGATCCTCTTGCTTTAGCTTCCTAGAGTGTTGGAATTACAGGTATAATCCTGGCCAGTGTACTTTTTCTTTAAATTTGTTAAGTAGAGATGCTAGTTTAACTTTCATCAGTAGTCCAGGCATAGATCCATTGTTTCTTGTAACTTGAATGGTAACATTTGCTTGGGTCCTTGATTAAAATGTAATACAGCTTGGCTGCTGCTACTCCTTTAGTTGCTATTTTTGTTGA